AAAAGTGTTTATATGGTATGATGAAGGCATATTATGTCTTAGAACTTCATAAATTCTAAAAAAATTAACTTGAATAAAGGCACTGAAAGCTCAGCATGTATTACAAGAATTCTTTTCAGACTCAGCTAAAAAGTCCAACATTTTAAATTTAATTACCTAACACTAATCTAGCAAAAAAGAATTATGTTTATGTAAAATACAAACAACAGAGCAGGGCCATGGATAGCATCCATGTCTTGTGTTTCTAAGGTTTTCAGAAAAGTGGCAATCACTAAGGGAAGAAGAAAAAAAAAATCAAGTGGAAAAGAAAAACATCTTATTGATTTGTTCTGCCAAAACCACTCTATACATGAAATACTGGAAATGGAGCAGGTCTGTAACTAGTATCAAAGTTTCTTTGGTTCAAAACCACACAGAACACTAGCAATGTGCTTTAAATTCAGTACACATTTTAAAAGGTTAACAGGACTACTCCTTAGGCAGAAGAACAAAGAGGAGCTGGTTAAAGAAAATTGGGTACACCACAGCTACTTAAAATACTGTATCCAGGCACAACTCATTTGGATGTCTTTGAGCTCAAAGCTTATTTGAATTATACAGAGGTGTTTTAGAGAACAAAAATACTAACCTGTGTTTTATCTAAGCTCTTTCAGCTGAACTGAGCTACTAATTAAAAATCTTCACTATTATTCCTAATTTCTGATGTACTTTTTTAACAGAGTAAAAAAGCCATCTCAAAAGCTGTGCTCGTCCTCAGAGAAGAGTGTTAATATTAGTATCTCTGAAATGCCTTATCATCTCCTGGTTTTACTAACAGCATGCCTGTCATCTGCCTTGATTATACCTCTTGTAGCCAGTCTGAACATCCTGTGCCATACTGAATACAGTACTGATGCATGTGCCAATGTTCCTCTCAGTGACACCACCACAAGAGTCCACAATCCAAGCAATGCTTACATGTAACAATATCTCTCAAATAACATATTAAACAGATGTGTACCTGATATTATAAATATGTGACATAAAAATCTATTGGGTTGGTCAGTGTACATATTAAAAACCATTCAAGTAGGTCTAATTGTGGATAACTTAGAACTTTAGAGACAGCAATTTTAATAAAACTGTCAATACAATTTTCTTTGTAAAAACATTTGACACTGATTATTCTGCTTATATTGAAACACAAGGTCTATAGCTTTAGATCTCTTATTGAACTGTGAGTGCAGCATCAATAGCTGCTTCTCAGCTGTAAATGAAAACTGATTTCAGATCTAACCCATCGTTTTCTGTGTATCTTTAATCCCCAATCACCCACAATGAGACGTAAAAATCAGAATTTTGTCTATGGGACAGAGCATGTGTCACTGGAGGGACAGTGGTTGTGTAAGTAAGATGCAAGTGGATAAATGCAGCAGCACCTCAGTGCGAAGGCCAGAAGATGGTAACAGGAGTTGGTAGCTGGGGTGAAGTCATTGTAATTTGCCTCTTGCTCTACTGTAATGACCTACATAGTCCAAAGCTTTACAGAGCTAAAATCTGAAGGCACCTGCAATGAACATCTCACTGGACCCCCTGCAGGTTGCAGCCCAAAGATTTTATCTCAAAAATTTCTGTATCAAGCCCACAGCTACCAGAAAGCTAAAAGAAAAAGAACCCACAAAGTTTCCATGCAATTTGCAGCAGTTTGGCACTAGCAGGTTGAATTTGCAGTCAACTCTCACTTGCTGAAGCCTCTTAAGGCCTCTGAGGTGAAATGGAAGTGTACAGTCTCAAACATAATTTTCTTGGTGATATGTTGCTAGGCCATCATCATGTATGCCTTAACCAAAATAAACATAACACGTCAAGCAGAGTTCTCCAAACTATGTTTATAACTTTTAGGAGCAATTTCTAGTTATTCAAAATTCTATTTGAAAAGGGAATGCCAAAACTGGGCATCACGATCAGTAACAGCCTTGCAGTATCATCCACTGAATTAAACCTGGTAGTTCCTATCTTATCCAGAAACGAAGCACATCTTTTCAGTTACATGACTGACTGGAGCTATTGTGTGGTTGTGCTCCTCCTCGGCAGTGAGGAGAAAAGGAAGGAGATTTGTGACACCTGAAATAGTACAAGGCCCACAGACCCTTGAGTAAATGCAATATAGTTCATAAATAAGGGTGCTCATTCACAGGAGTGAGGAAAGAAAACAGAAGAGCTTTGTTTCTTGCAGCCAAGTTTCTAACAATCTTCCACCTTGACAAATGGACTACTGCTAGTCTTAGAACACAGGCTGATAGATCGAACTCTCCCCACATACTACAGACTTTCACAAAAAGTTGATATCCAAGTACATTTATGGATCAGTATCACTGCTGTCCTATAAAAATTGAAGGGTCCAAGCAGTTCTCAAAGGACAAATCCTAGGGCTCCCTGCTGAGCACTGTTACCAAAGAATTTTGAGTTCCTTAAAATTAGAGTAGAAACAAAGGAAACAAACTTGATTTTTACATATTGCGTTATTTTAAATAAAAGTGAATAAATGCCAGCTCATGCTTCACATTGGCTGCAGGCTTATAGCAGAAAAAAATCATAAAGACTGTAAAGACAATGATTCCATTTCCTTATAGAAATGCTGCACAGACTGCTAGAATGATTTCGGGTTGAGAGTTTTAATCTTTTCTCTCCCTGCCAGAATGAGCACGTGTACACCTGAATAACAATGGTCATTTGACTGCAAAATATTTATGTTGAAAAAGCCCTTGAAGTTTTTTTGTTTTGTTTGTGTATCTGACCAGTGGGCCAGACCAACCTTTCTTCCAATTTCCAATCCCCTCTCCTCAAAGAGATATGGCAGAGGCTGCTGAAGTGTAATGAATGAGAGATGCAGCAGAGTCCTGCTGCTCAGCATTGCAAAGCCTCAGCCTGCCAAAAATTTAAAGGCAGACACTTGCAGTCATTAATTCAGGAAACTTAAAAAGCTGTGAGCTGTGTAATTTTCTCTATACCCTATTTGTAATACAAATAGAAGAGATGCAACCACACATATGTAGCATATACAGGAAAGGAAAAGGTTCCCTCTAAGTGCAGAGCATTTAAGAAATGTTCTCAGTGTGCTTGTGTCCAGTTACTTTATTTGGAATTCCTAAGGATGCAGGTCAGTCAATAGATGACAACAAACTGGGCGATCAATGGTGGGCTTGGTAGTGCTCAGTTAAGAGTTGGACTTGATGATCTTAGAAGATACTTTCTAACTGAAATGATTGCATGAAAAAAAATAAAAAAAAAATTCAAAGTACTACAAAATTTTGAAAAACGACATGAATGGTCCCTATGGTGCTCTCTTGTTTGTCTGCAGCCTATGCTGTGAATGTATGACTGGGAAGACACGTGGTGGTTTGGAGCAGTCTGAGGCTTCCTGCAGCTTGGACACATCCCCATCACTGAAGAGCCCAGGCTGCAGGCCCTGGCAGGGACACTGTTCATTCACAGGATGCTGCCTTGGTGAGAGGCATGTCCCACACTGTCAGCAGTCAGGGCTCCAGAGCTGTCAGAATGCCTCTGTGCACTGTGTTCTTTCCTGCCTGGGATTAACACCAGAGATGGCATCTGCTCAAGTCAGTGAGGACTTTTCATTTGATGTCAGCAAACACTGGTCCAGGCATTTGCTTCTTCATTCACCAGTGATAAGGGATTTCATCCTAGCAGTATAAACAGTGTGAATTCGGAACTCTGTAAATTCTACTTAAGTCACTAGAAAACTATTACTGTAGGAAAAAAGCAGTAACTGCTACCTGACAATATATTTCCGTTTTTGTATTTTAGGCATCCCAGGATCACAGTGTCATTTTACAGGACCATTTGGGGAAATTTGCAAACCTGATGGTGTCATAAGTCACCATGTTTGCACAACACTGCATTGCACAAGTACAGGATTTTGACCCTTTGGCTTCAGAAGACAGTGTGAGTATTGGCAGTGCTAAAAAATACTGACTTGTATGACTAAGGGGTCAACTTTCACCAGAAGGTAAATCTTTCCTGGCATGACCCTGAAGGATGGATGAGGTAGGCTGAAGGAGAACATTTATGGCAATTTAAAAATAAGTAAAAAAGAATGATTGGCCTATAATTAACATTTCCCAGACTGAACAGATGATCTTATGCTGAATTATAGCATTACCTTCTTCTCTACTGCAGATGTTTAAACATTTGAGACTATTGCATATATAAAGTAAAATGAAGGATGAATTTAACAAAAAGTTCCATTTTTTTTCTGATAAGCATGTTGAGAATATGAATTTCACCAGCCTTCTTTCCCAGCATTATCCATAAACATTTATAAAGTGGGAAAGATAGAGAATTACATGAATCAGTTTTCTGAAAATGATTCTTCATTAACACCCCAAGTATGTGGAGAAACTTTCAGTATTGATTTAGAGCTACATGCTGAGGGCTTTCCCTTTCACAAATGGGAGTTACGGGATCACTGCGGACTCCCAACCTTTACTCTCTGATTGGAACAAAAACTTACAGACCAAATTTTCTTGTGTGGGCTTGTATAAATGAATTGCAAAGTGCAAACAAACTCTGTAGTTGTGTTGATGCTCTTACGTGGTCCTTTTACACACGCTTCCAAAAAGCTCATCAATATAGAAAATGGGTGCAAAGCAAGGGAGGCTGTTCCACAGTTAGCTTGGTACAATGCAGTACAGAGATTCAGAACAAATTAGCTGTTCCTGGGTGATGTTCCATGTGGTCTCTAATTCAAAGATTAATAAGTCATATTTTGGTTTAGTTTAATTCACTTCACAAAGTTAACCAGCAAAACTGAAATACATTCCTGTTTGAGAATGCTTCCTCTAATGAGAAGGAAGTAAACAATGTTTAAGCTAATGGATTCTGCAGCCCACCAAAATGCTTTTCATGCAAACATAGTAAGTCAACACACAAACAGATCCAACCAATAAAATAACCTGGTCAGTTTAAATGGTCTATGCACTTATATTAGATGTATTGACCTGTTCATTGTCATCTTCATCACTGCTGAGTTTTAGATCATCCTCAAGCATCCTGAAAAAAAAGAGAAACAATACAGAATTACATTTAGTGCATTTACTTTATGTACAACGGGCCAAATCTACACCTCAGCAAAGTCAAAGGAAAAACTCTCTTCCAAACAGCAAAATCAGACCTGAAGTAAGTAAACTGATTAATAATCCACATATGTATGTATTAGTGCTTCTTTGTGATTCTAGGGAAGAACAAATTATTTTAAGACTCATCCATCATGAACTTTGGCAGTCAGCTGCTCTTTCTTGTCCTCTTTATTTCCACATTGTCTCACAGGGATTAGTCCATATACACCTACATGTGTTTCTAAATCAGAAGAGAAATTCATCTCTGAGACTGATAAAACCTGAGAAAAACTCATCCATGTTTCATTCTCAGTCTGGGGCACCACCAATTTCCTTTCTGGTAATCCTTTCTCAATCCTTACTTTATCAAACTGACAATGCAAAGTGGATAATAGCAAGAAGAGGAGGTGCTTGTCTGCGGTTTGATGGGACCTCACAATTGTTAGTGTCCAAAGAGAGAGTAAACATTTTCCAAGCTGGGAACCTGCCAGTTCATACCACTATTTTTATTTATTTATTTATTTATTAATACAGGGAAATCTCACAAGCCTGCACTCTGCCCTTGGTTAAAGGGGAAGGAAGCTCCTAAAAGATATGGCTGTTCCTATGTCTCCTTCCCTTCCTCTGGCAAAAGAAAGAGCTGAATTGCAAATTACTGTATTAACACTCATACGACTTCTTTTAATCCAAGACCTGGGAACAGGAAAATACATGGGGTAAGAAACCATGTTATGTGCTATTACAGAGACAGAAAAGGTCTCTTATTTGGAGATCTGTCTACCTAGAGAGAAGACCACCAGTAAATCAAGGAAGGCTCCTGACACACGTAATTTTAAAGAGGGAACAATAATCCCAATGTGGAAATTTTAGAACATTTGAAGCCCTGATGGTGCCCTTAAAAAGTGAAGGAGATCTTTAAACTGGTTTGTGAGTCATCTGTCTTTCAGTGACCTCTGTTGTTAGGCAACCCAGTGGTTACAGAGTATCTGGAGACATAACTACCAGTCATTAGCATCCTGATAAATGGCTGATGCCTCCCTGTAATATGTGAACCCATAAAAGTACAATGGCAGCATGGATTAAAAAAACCGCAGAATCTTCTAAAAGTTAGTATTTGTGAGGCGTTGATCTTGTCTGGATGCCAAGTGCCCACCAAAGCTTCTCTATCTCTCCTCTCTTCATCTGGGTAGGAGAGAGAAAATGTAACAGAAGGTTTGTGGGTCGAGAAAAGGACAGGGAGACATTACTCAGCAATTACTGTCATGGGCAAAACACTTGATTTGGGAAATCAATTAGAAGTATTGTCAATGAAATCAGAGTAGGACAATGAGAAATAAAACCAAATGATAAAACACCTTCCCCCCACCCCTTCCCTTCTTTCTGGGCTGGACTTCACTGACAATTTTCTCGGCCTCCCCTCTCACAGTAGTGCAGGGGGATGGGGAATGGGGGTTATGGTCATAATTGCACATTGTCTCTGCAGGTTCTTCCTCTTCAGGAGAAGGACTCCTCTCACACTTCCCTTCTTCCAGCATGGAGTCCTGCCGGCAAAAGCCAGCCACTCATGAACTTGTTCAATTTGAGTCCTTCCTACAGCCTGCAGTTCTTCAGGAACCATCCCAGAGTGCATCCCTTCCGTGGGTACATTCTCCAGGCACAGGATGCTCCAGTGTGGGTCCCCCATGGGGTCACAAGTCCTGGCAGAAAACCTGCTCCAGTGTGGGCTTCTCTCTCTACAGGGACACAGGTCCTGCCAGCAGAGTCTTCCCACGGGGTCACAGCCTCCTTTGAGCATTCCCCTACTCTGGTGTGGGTTCCTCCCCAGGCTGCAGCTGGATCTCTGCTCCCCATGGATCCCCATGTGCTGCAGGGACACAGCTGCCTCTCCATGGGCAGCACCAGGGGCTGCAGGAGAACCTCTGCTCCAGCACCTGGAGCACCTCCTGCCCCTCCTTCTGCACTAACCTGGGTGTCTGCAGGGCTGTTCCTCTCACATACTCCCACTCCTCTCTTCTACATGCTGTTGCACAGCAATTCTTTTCCTTTCCAAAATCTGTTATGCCAGAGGCACTGCCAGTGTCACTGTTGGGCTCACCCTTAGCTGGTGGCAGGTCCATCCTGGAGGTTGGCATTAGCTCTCCTGGAAGTGGAGGAATCTTCTGGAAGCTTCTCACAGAAGCCACCTCTGCAGCCCCCTTGCTACCAAAACCTTGGTATTCAAGCCCAATACTCAATTTTTCAGTAATTATTAATCTTTAGGGGCCTAGACTTTGGTGATGAAAGAAACTTTTAATGCTGTTTATCTAGCAGACATATTTGTTTCCCCAGAGCCATTACTTGCTGTACCATTCTCAATGTATCACTGTGCCTTGATCTATCCACAGTCCCTGATTGTTATCTGCAAGTCTCATTACAGCAGAAGGACAATATCCCCAGGAAACCGAGACCATTTTCATACAGGACTGTATCATTCTGACTCTTAATCCTAATTCAATCCTACACTCCTATTTTGAAACCTACATTTCACTTTAATGTGTAAATTATCCACTGCTTTAAAGAATCACTGCTAGATAATGCATTCTATTGTTATTTTTTTAATGCAGATTTAAGTGGATATAAGGCAAAGATCTTTTCATGAATGAAACCCAAAGGGTGGTATGTTTTTTTTCTTTCAGCTATTGGGTGGTTTGGGGTTTGGGTTCTTTTGGGTTTGGGTTTTGGTTCCTTTTCATTTGTTACGTGTTTAATTCCTTTTTGACATACGCTGGTAGAAATAAACCAAAAAGGACAAAAGTAATTCCATATTGGATAAATGGAAAGAACGAAGAAGAAAACATAAAAAAGATAAATGGATACACTTACTAAACTAACCCTACAGCCATCTGAATTAGCTGATTAAAAACTGTCCTCATACAGCTTATACTGCAGATACTTTCTAACAAGTACATTAAGTGCAAGACATGTTTATTGAATATTGAAAAATATAAAATTTATATAAAACATTACTAGTAGGAAGGACAACTGTTAGAGTTGGTTTCAGAGAAACTAAATTTGCAGTACTTAAAAGTTCCCTTCAAGAGACTAATAGATGTTTAGCAACTGCAGAGAGGAAAAAAACTGGATTTTGGCATTTCTTTAGCAGTTCAAAGCTTATCACTTGGAGTATACAATTCTTCTTAGCTCCTTCTGCTAAATGAAGAATATGTCATGCCATTCAGTTTCAAAACTCAAAGCTTAAACAGCTAAACCAACCAGCTTCTAAAATGCATCACATTCTTCTGGCAGATGGAATAACTGAAGAGAAACTGAGTATCAACCAGAAATATATGGTAGCCAGAGAAGCAAGGAAATAAATTAAAGATACACAGTAAACGCAAATGTAAAATGCTGAACATTTCACATAACCTGCTCCCAGAGACTACTGGTAAGAAAAAGTACTATTTTACAGAATGCAGAGGACTAGATGGTGTTCCACAATTTTAAAATGTGCTTAATATTCTGAAGACAGGGGTCACAGTAGCTTGTTCTCTTTAATGTTTCTATTAACTCTCATTTATAAGCAAGTACCATCTGATTGCACTCAAACCCCAATAAGGACTTTTAAGATTGCCAGCAACCTTAATTCAAGGTAACTATTTCACTATCAAATATAGAAAGGTATTTTAGCTTCAAAGGCCTGAGACAGAAGAGCTCTGTATCTACAGCTCTCCAAAACACTGTCTGGATGGTCTGAATGTGAAATTAGGCACTCTTGAGTGAGAGGTCCCTCTAAATACCAATATGATCTATTCTGCTCTATGTAATTGTTCACCTCAGAAGCCCCCGGACTGCAGATTACAGAATATATTTGTTATTAAGGTCAGGACAGCTATTAATAAAGGCCAATTTGGAGACTATGTTAAAAATACAATGAATACTGCCAATGAGGACAAATCAAAGAGAAAACTGCCTGTATCAGAAAGCTACCTCCAGGGGTGTTACAAATTCATTTTATTTCCTATTCTTCTCTGACCCAGCTGACATTATTGAATATACATGTACTTGTTTGTCTTTTCATTCATAGCTAATGCAAAACACCACTTTAGGAAAAGAATAGGATTAAGTAGGATTTTTTTATTTCATTATTAGAGCAATTCCATTTACTATAACAGTTGAAGTTGTGTCAGCACATTTATTATAATCTACAATTTTCAGAGGTTTATAATTTGGAATGTGAAATTATTGCAAAGCAGGAATGTTGGGACAAAGCAACATAGTTATCCGTGGTGTAAGCAAGGGATATCTCATTGACTGACTACAATACCCACTTCCTCCAGGGATGAATTTGCTCCCAAAGCAGATTGTTCCTACATTACAAATTTAGCTAGACAAATGGCTGAATAAGGGCTTTATTAGGATGGGTTCTGTAAAAGTCACACTAGAAATAGTAAGAACATGAACACTGAAAGGAGACTTGTAGCTCATCCTGACTTCTGAGGTCAGTGGATGTTTTGTGTGACTTTTTTCAGTGGATGTTTTGTGCACAACAGACCTGCTGATTTGGGATCCTGTCAACAAGAAGGTGAGGATTTGATTAGGAGACATGAGATAATTAATTCACTGCAAAAAAGCACTGCCACTTTTACAGAAGACTATACCTCTTAAAGAAGGATTTTCACTGTATCCTTTTTTTGGTTTAATGTATAATGTATTTAAATGCTTTTAACAAATGAATAAGGTCTTGATTGCTGATAGATGTCTGCACATGCTATACATTTCTTCCTGTTTGGGTTGTGGACGGCTGGGATGAGAGTCTGCTGTGTTTATAGTAACATGTTTGGTGATACAGCTTCCTTAAGGAGGAAGTGTTTAAAAGGAAGCATGGATAGGATAAGGCTCTGCATGTCTAATTTTCTCTGGGATCAGTTCACCACTGCACTGGGTCTCACTCCAATG